GAGAAGTCAGACTTATCTGAGAGGTGATCAACAAAATTTGTGGATTTTTAAACATGGGTCACTAACTTTAATATTGTTGCCTAAGCGGTGTGTGAGGTTTTAATATAGTTAGAAGTCTTCATGGTCTGCTGGACGCACATGCCGTCCAGCAGGATCTGTCTGCTAAGAGACAGCTTCATGGATAGCAGCTGAAGATAATTTCAGGGAAATGAAGATGAAATTTGAAGGTCACTTCAAATCAAATCAGCAATGTTGCTGTTGAATTGGACAGAAGGATCGTGTCTGTGGCAGGGGGAGGTAGGAAGAGTGAAATTTGGATACACTGAAACAACTGATTTTTTTTTTTTTTTTTTTTTGTCTAACTCAAAACTGGCTTGGAAAGTCTTTGCTTTGGAGGGTCAGACATTAGAATGAGCCAAATTGGACTGTATTCACCACACACCCAAATACGAAGGCCTCATTGGAAAATCAGAGGTAGGAGAGTGGTCATGTCCTGCAAGAGGTCTTGGTCAGGCATGCTTTCCCCCATCCCAGGAGCCTCTGCCATGGCTGATGGGTACACACAGCCTTGGGTTCCACTCCTTTTCTTGGGGCCTATATTCAGATCAGTTGAACAGTTCCAAGATGCATGTTTCCCATTCCAAACAGGGCTGTCTCTGCTTAGAAGCTTGGGGAGAGGGTTTAGAGTAGACTGTTTATGGAGCTCCAGCTGTAGCTGTGGTGGCAGGAAACTTGAAGAGATCTGACCCATCAGGTAACTACATTTTCAGGTGGCTTATTTATTTTTTCTTGCTTACAGCATTCATTCAAATAAACAAAAAGGCAAGAAAGAAAACTCAGCCACAGAAAAACGTGTGATAGTTAAAACTTCTCTCCCTTCCCCATCCTCCTTTCTCCTACCAAAGTGAAAGATGGCCTCACAACCAGCCCCAAACCAGTGCTCAGACTGTCCCTGTTTCTGTGTGCCAGCCTGGGAGTCAGTCAGCTCTCAGGCCAGAACTGTGGGGGGCCAGCCAGCCCCTGCACACAGTCAGGAGCGCAGGCCAGGCTGCTGCTGGTGGCTGGGTGGGCACCTGGACCCCAACACATGGTTAAAAAGGAGAAATTGTTGATGTGAGGAAGGAAGTTTTCCCAGCTAAGAAACCACTATTATTTTACTTGCTTCACCCCAGCTACATAGAATTTAGATAGCTACTCATATTAGAGATGGATGGATTTTTCAGCTTTTTAGTTGAAGGAGTAAATTAGATCATTTTGAAAGGTCTTTGGGGATCTAAAATTGAGGTGACTTCTCCTGGCACAAATCCCAAAGCAAAGACTTTATTGCCTGCTGCTTCTTATCTAATTTACAGGGATATTTAATTTTGTAAGGTATTTGTATATTTATACAGCTATAATGAATTGCACATTGGACTGGAAGAGAAGGATTCTCTTGGGTACAGCACCTGTGGGAACTCTTCCTGTGTCTCCTGCTCTGGTGCTGGGCTCTGCTCGGGATCTCCTGGACAGTGTCAGGGGTTGTTTGACTTGGGTCCTGTGCATTTCCTTTGGGTTTCCTTTTCAAAATGTGATTATTAACTTGCTCTCTAAGAAGAAAAGAATAATTCTGCTGCTGCTCTCAGGAGATTGCTGGATGTGTTTGAATAGGACTCTGCATGTGTGCACTGCAGCCATCCACCACGGCTCGCGACCCATCAGCTTTGCAGGCCAGACCATGACCCTGTGGAGCAGCTCAGAGATCATTTGCTGAGAGATTATTTGCTGCTGTTGTTCAAAAGGCCATTTATGAAGTTAGTATTTGAGCCCTATAAAATCTTATGAAAGCCCCCAATCATTTAAAAGAAGAAATCAGATTGATAAAAGTTAAAAGCACAGCCAGAGGCTGGGCTGGGGCTCAGTGGCAGAGTGCCTGCCTGTCATGCCTGAGGCCCTGGGTTCCATCCCCAGCACCACAAAACAAAAAACTCACAGCCAGAAGGCTGCTTAGGTGGGAAGTGCAAGCCGAGGTTGGCCTCCTGCTGATCCCTGGCTGCTGTGTGCTGCTTTTCCGTGTCTTCCAGTTCATTTCTTTTCATGCTGTGTATTCTGGCATCAGTTCACCTGAGGAATCCACCAGCCTTCTTGTGTTTAAGGCATTGTCTTAAGACACTGTGGCTCTAAAGTACTTGTCTGTTGAGATTGAAGTCTCTTGTCACCATCTTCACACGCTATAACAAAACCCATGAAGCATAAGTGGCCTTTTTGAACCAAGACTTTTGCAAACTGATCTCTCCCCAGTGAAGGAGTTGAGCACATTAGCAACAATGTACATTATTAATTTTGGATTTTCATTTTCATGTTTTATTTTGTAAATACTATCTGATGTTTGGAGCTTGAGTATACAGAATGTAAATATAGTTCTTGTATTTGTACTAATTCTGATTCTTTTGCTGTATAGCCTTAGGTGTGCAATGCAGACATTATCTAACTGTGTATGGTAACCTACATCACAGAACTATTAGTGAACAAGGTAAAAATAATAAAGGTACAGCCAGTGCATCAGAAGGCTCTCAATGTGCATTTATTCTCACACCCTTTAGAAGTAATTACACAGATTTCTTCTCTTGACTTTCGTTTAATCCTGCAAAGATTAAACGAAAATCACAGTGCTATGACCTATAGGTTCCTTGCTGATACTCAAAGTAGTGCTTCTTGGCCTGGGGTTGTGGCTCAGAGGTAAAGCGCTCGCCTAGAGTGCGAGAGGCACTGGGTTCGATCCTTAGCACCACATGAAAATAAAATAAAGATATTGTGTCCATCTGTAATTTAAAAAAAAAAGTAGTGTTTCTTATATAACCAGGAAAGCTAATGTGGTGGTGGTGTTTAAAAGAATTTTCCTCTTAAATATGTTAGTTATTTTTGCTAAGAGATTTGGTGTTTCTCTCCTGAAACACATTTTCTTTTTTTGTCTGTGGTACTGGAGAGCAAAAACAGGGTCTCCAGCATGCTAGGCTAATACTATACCACCCATCTACATACCCAGTCTTTTTCTATTTGTTTTTTATTAGGACAGGGTCTTGCTGAGTTGACCTTAAACTTGCAATTCTCCTGCCTCAGCCTCCCACATTGCTGGGATTACAGTTGTGTGCCACTGCCCAACTGAAGCCTTTCTTTGTATATAACTACCAATGATGTACTAGTGTTATGTTGAGTGTTGGTTTTTGTTTGTTTTTTCTTTCTTGGGAAGAGGATTTGAAAAAAAATCAACATGTCAGTTTATTTTAACAAGCTCTCCTATGAGCAGCACTTGAGAATGGGGATCCCGTGCTGATACAGTGTGGGGGCCAGTGATTCTGCAGCACACGGAGCAAGCACCTGTGGCCTCTGTTCCAGTGGGGGACAGTATCTGCAAAACATATTCACAATGTCGAGCAGTAAGGGTCACGGTAGACAGTAAACCAAGTGGAAAATGAGAGGGATGGGGAGGAGGCCTCTGCTTACACCATGCAGAAAGGAAAGGCTCTCCTGGGAGATGGCATATAAGTAAGTAGAATCCTGAATCGCCAGATGAGGAGGCTGTACAGATCCCTGGGCAAGGAGGTCTCAAGCAGAAAAATTAAGCCCCAGGGTTAACAGTGTCCTAAGTAGGTTCCAGAAGTAACAAGGCTGCTGGTGTGGAATGAGTACTAGGGGAGTGATGGGGACTTCAGGAAATAGCCAGCTCCCAGGGGTCAGGGCTTAGGATGGACTTGGGTCTTCATTAGAGTGAAATGGGAAGCAAGTGAAGGTTTCTGAAACAAGGAGGCAGGTCCTGTTATTTGTGTTTTTAAAAGACCATTCTGACTGCCGAGTGGAAGATAGCTTGCTGGGGGTTGAGGGACAAAAGTAGGAAAGGAACAAACTAGGAGTATTCCAGGGGAGATGATGGTGCCTAGACCAAGGTCAGAGCAGGACGGGTCCGGAGACACCAGCATCGGCAAGTCGGAACCAACATTTGCTCAGAGCCTTTTTGTGGAGTCAGAAAGAAAGGAGGAAAGTAGTTCACAAGATGCATGCCTGGGCAAAGAACAGCATTGCAATTTCCCAAGATGAAGAAAATGGTAGAAAAACAGCTGTCGGGTTGGTCGTGTTTGTTTTGAGATGCCAGCACTTCCACCTGCATGTGTACTCTGCGGGACAGTTGGGTAAACTGGTGGTATTCAAAGAGGCTGGAGACCTGGGGAGCACTCCAGCGGGTAGAAGTCAGAGAGAGAAGACTGGTCCAGCAAAGAGGAAGAGGCGTGGCCATGAAGAGTGACAGGCGGCTGCCAGGTTTCTGTTCTCGGACTAAAAGGTTCAGGGGTCACTCCAGTTGAACTGGGCTAATTGGACTGTGCAAAATAACCACCACACGAGAGACACAAATACCTTTTTTGCTGTGACAGCTCCTCTGACCTTAAAGGTCCATAGGAAGAGAGAGCGAGAGCACGCACTGACCCCTTTTATTGAGGAGAAGCTGTTCAAATGAGGCAAGGGGTCAGGTTTCAGGGGGCTGAATCTATCTTCATGATGTCCACTGTCAGCAGACTGACTGACACCTGGGTAGGCCACACCCAAGGGCACAGTAAGAGAAGGGGACATACACAAGGCCCTTCCATGGAAGATTCTATCCTAAACAGGGCAAGGGGTTATATTACAAAGGAACAGGTGAGTGTAGCTCCACTCATGGGGCTGTAGCAAGACACACCCATGCACAAGACACCCACCCTGGAACCCAAGAAGGGTGGGGAAAGCTCTGCCACATTTCTGTGACTGAGCGCCTCAGCACCCAGCTGGGGAGTGTGACTCAGTCAAGTGCAAGGTTGGTCTCCCACAGGTGGCCACTAAGTGTTGGAAGATGCAGGATGCCATCACTGTGTCCAGTGCAGCCGATAAACTGAAGCGGCGAACCACAGGTTTCAGCAACAGGAAGGTGGAGGAAGTTTGGGGGAGCCAATCTTATCACTATTTCCCAGTTTCAGAACCAAGTGAGATAAGGCCAATTGGAGACCAAAATATCACCTTTATTAGTGATAAAACTGCTATTAGAGGATGCAACTTATGTCTGAGGGAAAATGGGTTTTCTGATACTGAAACTCAGTTTTCAAGGATTTGGAGTAACACCTCTGAATCACCTGGGATCACCGTGCCAAAATGCAGATTCTGATTGAGGTGGTCTTGGTAGGGCCTGGGACGGCCTGTTTCATGATCTTCCAGGTGATGTCAGTCCAGTGTGATCCCTGAAGGCAGCAGAGGTCCTGAGGAGGAGAAGGCAACTGGCCTACCCAGGTCTGAGGTCTCATTCCAAACCTAGAGAAGGGTCTAGAATGGAGCCTCAGGAGTGCCTCTGCCAGGGAGCACTGTGAGTTTGAGGCCAGCTTCAGCAACTTGGTAAGATCCTGTTTCAAAATAAAACAAAAAAAAAAAGCTGTGGGTGTAGCTCAGTGGTAAAGCGCCCCTGGATTTGTTTCCCAGTCCGGGGTGGGGGTGGGGGTGGGGGGAGGAAAATAAGTGCCTCTGCCAGAGCAAGGTCACCTGTGAGCAGAGTATTGTTGGGAGAAAAACTCTAGCGGCAAGTTCCAAGGGAGAACAGGCAATTATTTCAGAGATGCTTACCAAAAACGGGAGAAGAAAAAGGTTAACCTTCTGGAAGGGGACATGGGGCCACAGCCTGTTTGTGTGCTAATTGTAGTGAAATGACTGGGAAGGAAAACTGGCTTTGGGAGGAGACCAGGATGGAGAGATGACGGGAGTGACCTACTTGACTGGGTGCCTTCCCAGTCTTGAAAGTTAGGTCAGCTCTAGAGAATAGAGTACATCGGGCCGTGTCTCCCTTGAACCCTGCTGGACGTTCAGTTTGAACTGGATCATCATCCCTGAATTTGTTCTCAGGAAGCTGATTGTACCTTACAGCTAGACCTTAACCAGGACAGCACGTCGCTGGCAAAGCTGATGGCACCTAGAGTCAGGAGGTCAGTGGAACAGGGCTCATGTTGCAACAGTACTTGTTGGTCTGATTTTTCTTGTCATTCCACTTTTGATCGCATGGGGAGGGTCCCGCTTCCTTATCCCTACACAGCCGAGTAGCTCTTCTGAGCACCTTATGTGCTTGCTCCTCTGGCTTTTGGTTTCATGTCTCAGGAATTTTTGAGCACTGCGCCTTCTTGCATGCATCCAGCCATTTCAGTTCAGTAATAGGAATTGCAGCAGGGCTGGGATTTTCACGTCTGGACAACCCAGAGTGCTCACACACAAAGGGTTCCTCCCTGGGAGGTGTGCCTAGAAGGCTGTTTTTGTAGAATTCAAGCCCTTGCTTTGATCTGGGATCTGGGAGTCAGCAAGCCAGACATTTTTTTAAGTGAATAGTAACATGGGTTGATTTTCTTAAGCATGACATGTCGAGTATCTGTGGATTTTCTAAAAACAGCAGGTCAGGGTGAGATTCTGGCTCCAGCATTATGTGTGTCTCTGAGGGACACTCACTCAGGTCCCAGTCCTTCTCTCCTAAGCTACTTGGCCATAGTTTTCAATACTCTGGGAAAGCAGTTTTGAGTTTTTGTTTATTTCTGCTGCTTAACATAGAAATGGTAAGTCCATGCAGTGTGTGACAGTAAAGAAAGAAACCCCTAATGGCTTTATGATTAGATTTCTACTTGTTTGCTGGAGCAGTCGGTGCCTACCCAGAGGTGACTGAGGAAGTTCAGATGTTTAGTCACATTGACTCAGCATAATTCCTGCCTTGCCAAATCTCAGACTAGAGCAATCAATTTGTTTCCTCAGCAAAGTCTGATAGCAAGCTTCCCTTGTAACTGAGCCCACGGAAAGAGGAAGTAGTTGCAGTACAGTTGAAAGCTGTGTCCTTCAGCAAGGGCCTCTTGAGGGAGCCACTTTGGGTTCTCCAGACTCTAGTCACTCAGAGCTCAATCCACATTTTCATTTAGAGTCAACTAAACATGGTCAGTCCACAGGTATGCCCAGTTTTGCTGGAAGTCAGTCGTGAGCATGCACAATTGAGTCCTGCTCGCCCTGTTAGGAAAGGGCTGGATTTGGTCCCTGAAGACTTGGGTTAAAGTTCAGTTCTGCTGCTGACTGGCTGGGATAGTCAACTTCCTTGAGCTGTTTCTTTGTCACATGGGTCATTTTGACATGCCCGTACCTGGCAAGCAGCAGAGTCTCTGCAGTCAGGTGGGCTGTTACAAGCCCATAAAGCTCCAGCTTCTTGTCTTCTAGAAGCTTTTCCTTGCCTTTTCTGATCCTGGTCTCTGCCATGAGGTGAGATGCTAAGCCTGGTCTGGGGGGCAGAAATGCCAGTGGTGGTGGCACCCAGGACCGAACCGACTCCCAAGAGCTTTGTACCTTTAGGCACAGCCTATGGACTCCAGAAGGCCCTAGCCACAGATAAAGGAGGGACAGTGCCTTAGAGGCGCTGGCTGTGGCAGTGTAAAGGAATGCGGGGGGGGGGGGATGAACCACAAAAAGTTGAAAATTTAAAAAGCATAAAATTAAAAAAATAATTCTTTTCTTTTTTTTGGTTGTGTGTTGATCCATTGAACCCCAGGCCTTGCAGATGCTAGGCAAGGGGTGGGGGTGCAGACTCCTGCCTGGGACAGCTCCACTTGCTGCACCGCCTCAGGGGGACAGTCTCACTAGCTCAAGGTTGGTGTGTGAAAGGTTTGGGCGATGGGAAGGCAGGGACCTGGGCTTCATCAGTCTAAATTGGGAAGCTTGGTGAGAAAGGAGTGGGAAAGCCGTGAGTTTGCCAGCCTGAGGCTTCCAAGGCAAGCAGCAGAGGAGCTAGAATCAGCAGGGCAAGGCAGGAAAGGTGAGTGCCGAATTCAAGGACCAGATGAGCCCCGGCTGACTGGGAAGCCATCTATACATGGCATGTGCCCGGTGGGACTCCAAGGCCCAGGGAGACTGAAGAACGAAGGAAGCTGAGAATGCACTTCCCAGCCCAACCACAGTGGTCAAGGTCTGAGCAAAACCTCTTCCCAAATCTATGGCTCTGAGTGATGGAGACACACACAGGCAGCTCTCTGAAAGTCAAGCTCAAAAGAAAAGTAGCCTAGGCATGATGGCCACACTTGTAATCCCAGCAACAAGGAAGGCTGAGACGGAGGATCACAAGTTAGAGGCTAGTCTGTGTCAATTAGCAAAATCCTGTCTCCAATAGAGCTGGGGATGTAGCTCAGTAACAGCACCCCTGGGTTCAATCCCCAGTACTGGAGTAAAAAGTTACAGTTTACCAGAATTGTCAGTTAAACTGGAATATAGTATAATAAATGAAAGATACAAACTGTAATCCCTACACAACCACAAAGAAAAGAGAGGAAACAAAAGAGGAAAAAAGAAATACCAACCATAGGATTCAAATAGCACACACAGGCACAAAATGTAACAAAAGTCCAGGCATCGGGAGGCACACGCCTATAATCCCAGGTACTCAAGAGGCTAGGGCAAGAGGATGGCAAATTCCAGGCCAGCCACAGCAATCTACTGACACCCTGGGATGTAGCTCAGTGGTGAAGCACCTCTGGTTCAATCCCCAGTGTGTGGCTGGGGGAGGGGGAGCAGTACAAAGGAACAAAGGGAAGATCTATAGAAAACAAATAGCAAAAAGCACCCACATATCAGTAATTATAGCAGCTGGGCATGGCAGTGCTTAGCTGCAGTCCCAGCTCTCGGGAGGCTGAGGAGGGAGGACAGTTTGAGCCCAGCCTAGATAAAATAGCAAGACCCCCTTCTCTAAGAATTAATTTTATTTATATATAT